CGCTGGCGCCCCCCGGGTCGCCGCCCGGCGCGGGGGCCATGGCGTTCACCTTCGCCGCGTTCTGCTACATGCTCACCCTGGTGCTGTGCGCCTCCCTCATCTTCTTTGTCATCTGGCACGTAAGGCCGGGCTGGGGGCGGGGGACAGGGGCGCGGGGGGCGGGAGGGCCGGGGTCGGGGCCCGGGGCGCCCGAGGCCTCCCCTACGCTCGCCCCCACCCGCCGGCTTCGGGTAGCCCCCGGTAGCGTTCCCACTGCCGGCTCCCTTCTCCGGGGCCCCCCTTCTTCGCCGCCCCCGCCTGTCTGTGGGTATGTCAGTCGGTCCTGACCCCCTTTCCTGCCCCATCCAGAGGTGGGGTGGGGGCTGGGATTCTGCAGCTCTTGCCCCTTCTTCCCCCTCCTCCTCCCCACCCCGCGTTCATTCAGCCGCCCCCGTTTGTCCATCGGGGCAGTTTGTCTGACTGTTCGCTCCCCCCCTTCTTTGTGGGTTTTTCCAGCCAGAGTGATGGTGCCGGTTGCTATGGCAACTGCATCTGTTTACAGGACCCACAGATCTCAGAGCCCATTAACCCTTTTTCTTCCCAGCCCCCCTCCTTGACCAAGCAGCGATTGGCTCCAAGCTCCCCCCAGACGTCCCCCACCATGGGTTCACTTTGGGCTTCTGTACCCCCTCCGGTCCCGGTTTCCCCGGCCATCTTTCTTCTCACTTTCCAGTTTCCCTTCCCATTCCTGCCCCCACTTTCCCTTTGTCTTCTGTGTCCACGTCCCCCTTGGTCTGTCCCCCATCCCATCGGTCGTCACCCTTATCAGTCCCCCAGAGGGGTTGCCCCCGGCCTCATTCTCACAGGGCCCACGCCTCAGTGGCCCCTCTGCTTGGCTCCTGTCCCCTCACTAGAGGACTGTCAGTCTATCTCCAGCGCATTGTTGGGGGGGCCAGCCCCCCGTACTGCCATCCTCCTCTGGCCTCAAGGTTTCTACCCGCACCCCACCAGCTTCCACTCTCGGCCCTCCTCGCAGCCCTGGCTGGCTCCACTCTCCTGGCACCCTCTGCTCACACCTCCTGCACACACCTCCCTGTCCTCCACCCCTTTGGGGGCCTCTCCTCCTGCCCCAGCCTCTCCCCTGCAGCCCCCTTCCTTCCTCTCTCTCAGCCCCCATTGCCCCACCTGCTTCTTTCCTGGTCTCTCCACTTCCTCTTTCCCTTTCCTGGGACCTGCTCCGTGTCCTCCCTGGGTTCTGACGGACCTCCGCCTTCTCCAGCCCCAGTGCCTTATTGCTCCCTGTTGGGATCCCAGCCTCTGACTGCCCGCCTGCTGTGACCAGCGAGCCCCACAGCACCCTCACCCCGTCCCCGGCCCTCCTCTCCCTGCCTTTGGCTCTCGGCAGCTTCGTGCCTTCTCTCCCCATCCTCTGTTTCTCTTGCTCTCCCTCCATCCCCCCCACCCCCCGCTGCACCTTCATGTCTTGGGCCTCCTGTGCCATTGTCTCCCACAGTCCCGGGGGGGGGGGGCTGGAGCAGAAGGGCTGGGCTCCTAAGGACTGGGGGGGAATTGAGGGCCACAGGCTGGGTCCTGGGATTCCACCTCGGGCTGCACAGCTCTGAGTCCCTGTCCTCAGGGATGTCGCAGCAGGCCCTCCATCCCACGTGTCACAGTGTGGGGGCTTCCTGAGGACCAGGCCCTGGGAGTCTGGGAGGGCCAGCATCAACAAGAGTCCCACTGCGCCCATGTGGAGCTCCCACTCTGGGAGCAGGCTGAAGCTTTGAAGGCACAAACACCTTTGTTCATTCAACAGCTGTTTACTGAGCACTTACTATGTGTCAGCAATATGTTCACTCGGCATTTAGCTGTGTGTTTTTGGCAAGTCATTTGTCCTTTCTGAACCTGTCTACATCAGAGTACCCAGAACAGGACTTGCTCACTAAGTGGGTTGAGGATGGGGGCGTGGTCCTCCATCCAAAACTGGGAAGACCTAGAACCTTCCAGGCCAGGACCCCAGATCCCACCCCAAACCCTACAGTCAGGCCCCACTGGTTGGCAGGCAACCCTGATGGGGAGTGACGTGTGTCAGCTGTCACCGTGGGGGACTGTTTGTTCCGGGGGGTTGGTTCGGGGCCGGGCGGCTTGGGGGGTGGGAGGCCTGACACCTGCTGTCTTCTGGTGGTGCCAGCTCTAGGGCAGACAGACGGCACCCCTTCCGCTCCTTGCTGGACCCTGTTGCTCTGCCTGTCAGGCGGGCGGCTGCCCAGTCCATGAGCAGTTGTGGAGGGGCATTCCAGATGGCCTCAGCTCTCCCCAGGAAGCCCGTGTTCTCTCCCTCTGAACCGTCTGGGGTCTGGGATGCTTGGGGGTGGTGGGCCTACTGCCTCATCCTAGGGCAGGAGCTGAGGGGAGGGGACCCCAGCAGCCTCCTCTGGCAGCACTCCCTCCCCAAATCACCTCAGGTCTGTCCCGTCAGCCCCTCAAACACCTGCTCCCCCTCCAGGGTCCCCATCCACCAGACCCCCTGACACCAGCAGGCATCTTGGGCCCCTCTGCCTTCAGCCCCGGCCAGCCAAGCTCTGTGGGTCTAGCTCCGGGCAGCTCTTGAGTAAGCTCCAGCCCATGGCCACTTTCCTCACTCAGGCCACCACCAACCTGTCCCCAGCACTCCTGCTCTCCTCCCTGGTCTGGCCCAAGTACAACGAAGTGGCTAGGGATTTGAACTTGCATTAGCCTGGGTTAGAATCCCAGCTCTACTATTAACCAGCAGTGTGGCCTTGGACAAGTCACTTAACCTCTGTGTCTCAGTTTCCTTGTCTGCAAACTGCATGAGGTTGTTTCAAGGACTGAGTGAGTGGATTCGCGTGGAGCCTGCTGGCGTACGGCGTGTATGTCTTGGGTGTAACTACTCCACTCCCCATTTGCACCTCCCGCTCCCGCTCCCCCACCACCAGTCTGAAACCATCAACCTGACCACACTACTCTGCTGCTTTATGTCCTCCCCGCTGCTTTGGGCTAAAGTCCAAGGTCCTAGGTCTGCCTGTGGGAGCAGACACGTGTCCCCGACCCCATCTTCCACCTCTCAGCCCTGCCACCCTCTGCATGCCTTCCCCGGCCCTCTGTGCCTTTGTACTTGCTGTTCCTGCTGCTGGGACTGCCCTTCCCCCATTTGTTCACCAGGCAGACACCACTGAGTCAAGCCTGGGCCCCCATCACTCCCACACTGGGTTAGGTGCCCAACACGGAGCTCTGGAGGCATCCGGCCTGGGTCCCCAGCGTGTTCCGTGGCCCTGGTCACCCTGCCGTGTAGTTCATGGTTCTCCTGAGCTTGGGGTCCGTGGGGCCTGGGGCTCTGGCTCAGGGCGGGGCATACGGAAGAGGATCCCTAGGGATGTTTGCTTGGGGCTGTAGTGGACATGGGCCTAGACTGGGCGTCAGGACACTAGGCCTCCAGGCTGTGGAGACAGTTGCGGGACCTTGGACTGGACCCTGCCCTAGACCTCTGTCTCCCCGCCTTTGCAATCAGCTCTATCTGGTCCAGTCCTCAGGTTCAATAAGTTCCTATCCCCAAATTTCCCCACGGGAGGACGAGCGGGGGGTCGGCCCATAAGCTGCTCCCCAACCCTGACGGGCACACGGCCCTCCCCCAGATTATAGCCTTTGACGAGCTTCGGACCGACTTCAAGAACCCCATCGACCAGGGGAACCCAGCGCGGGCAGTAAGTGATACATGTGCCGTGCCGAGGTGTGTCCGTCCGTCCGTCCGTCTCTCCATCTGTCGTGGGCAGGGATGCGGGAAGATGACGGTGGGGGTGAGGGGCATGGCCTTTCCTCTCTATCCCCGCCCCCCGCAAACACCTGGGGCGGGCTCAGGGCTCGGGTTCCTCCTGGCGGGGCGGCCGTTGCCAGGCTCCGGGCCGTTGCCGTGGAGACGCGGGTGAAGGTCCTCCATGGTGACGGTCGCCATAGGGACGGCGCGGCTGCTTCCCTGCCGCGCCGCAGCCGGCTCTGGCGCCCCCTAGCGGCCACTTGCAGGGCGGTGCGGGGCGCAGAAGGGTGGCCTGGAGCCCCCAATCCCGGCTCCTCCGCCTCCCCCATCGCGGCCTTCCTCTCTCCTTACAGCGCGAGCGTTTGAAAAACATCGAACGCATCTGCTGCCTCCTGAGGAAGGTCAGTGTCAGGGCTGGGGGCAGGGGGTCCTCCCCCAGCTCTGCCCGACTGCGAGCTCAGCCTTCCCTTTGGGCCTGTTCGATTCACTCAGCCATGTGGGTGGGAGCGGGAGGCTAGAGGCCCTTCTAATCCCAGAGGTTATGGCGGCGGGTCCCTCCCAAGCCAGTGCCATCACCAGAGCTGGTGTCACCCTGTCCGCAGGCAGGGCCAGCTGGGAAACCTGGTGGATAGAGCAGCTGTTCCTCTGCACACGGCCCCAGCAGTCCCCCCTCTCCCACTGGCCTAGGTGGAGAGACCCTCTTCTCCACCCCATGACAGGTGCCCCGTCTGCCTGCGCTGACTGGTGGGTGAGCCGTGTGTGCATGTGGAGGGCAGTGAAGATGCCGAGAGACTGCACCGCGGCTGACACCAGTCCTAGGAAGCCACTGCCTGGGTGGCCCATCTCCCTGTGGTACTGGCCCAGCCGCTCCGCGCTGAGCCCTGAAGCACGGGTCTGCCCTGGCCCGAGGCCACTGACCCCTCCCTCCTTCCCCAGCTGGTGGTCCCGGAGTACTGCATCCACGGCCTCTTCTGTCTGATGTTTCTGTGTGCGGCAGAGTGGGTGACCCTGGGCCTCAACATCCCACTCCTCTTCTACCATCTCTGGAGGTGAGGCGCTGGCTCCAGGGGGGCGAGCTGGGCGAAGCCTGGGCAGGACAGGGGAGCCTGGGTGCTGGGCACTCAAGCCCCTCCCACTGCAGGTACTTCCACCGCCCCGCGGATGGCTCAGAGGTCATGTATGACGCAGTCTCCATCATGAATGCGGACATCCTCAACTACTGCCAGAAAGAATCCTGGTGCAAACTCGCCTTCTACCTGCTCTCCTTCTTCTATTACCTGTACAGGTGAGGCCTGCCCGTGCCGTCTGAACTCAGGGACGCAGTGCTGCTGCCGGCACTGGGCCTCCAAGGGGCGTTTCCTCGCCCTTAAGAGTTAAGGGCCGCTGGGTGACAGGTGGGCGGCTGAGAGGCTGGGCTGGCTCAGACTTGGCTCACCACCTCGTCTCCCCACAGTATGGTTTATACGTTGGTGAGTTTCTAAGGGGGAAGCCGGCCAGGGAGCGAGCCCAGAACGGACCGGACGCCTGTGCACCTCCAGCCCTGCCCCTTGGCCACAGAGGCCTCAGCCCCGGGGAGGGAGGGGGCACTGGTGCCCCTAGCCTCTCGACCCCCCAAACTGCTGCTGCGGGGACCCCCCCTCCGCCT